ATAACTCAGGGTGCTCAACTGCTACTTGGCTGTACTGGATAGGTGTTCACTGTATTTAAATCCCCTATGTGTCTCCCTAGCACTCACTTTATAAAAGAGTTGTCCCCAGTCTCTAAAATGTCTTTCCTGGCATAGATCTTAGCTCCCTGCGGGGTGCCCTCAGTCTTATCTAACAGCTACTCAGCCTGAGGTAACTCAAAATAGAAGCCAGGTTGCTTCCCTGGACTCCCTGCTCACTCCTTAGTACCCAAGACAGGACACGAGGATCCTCAGAATATTCAGGGACACGTTTTTTCTTTGCTCTGGACTGAACTGGTTGTGAAACTCAGCTGTGAGGTGTAGGCATCTATAAAATTATTTTGCTCCTGTATCACCCCCAGGATACCACAGAGAAGAGGCTCCCCAAAACCTTCACAAAAACCTACTGGCTTAGATTTCCTACTTTGAATAGGACTAAGAACTCAGGAGAGAAAATAACAAATGGAAATGGTTCTCCATGAGCTACAGCTGATCTTTTTGCAAATCCAGGCACAAAGGGTCTCTTTCTTAGCTAAGAACTGTTCCATTTGCTCTTGGGTCCCTACTTCTCATTAGGTTCCTAGAACAGAAGTTCCTTTTCCAGACTGTGGACTTCTAGGGAGGAGGAGCTTCTGCCATAACAGCTCCAGAGAGGCAATGTGTGTGTGGTGGGGCAACAAAGAGGACACCTGGACTACAGTCAGTTAACTTGTCTTAATGGTGTGAAGTCAAGTATCAAGCAAATGCCGCATCCCTGTTAATATTGCTCTCAGGTTTTGATGAGATTAAATACAATAAAACCAGTACACCAAATCTGACTAAAGTCCAACGAGAACATTGCCTTCAACTGCCAACAGTGGAACTGGCAAAAATCAAGATGTATATTTATATCTTGCAACTTCCCCAGGAATTTTAGGCAATTGAATTGAGTGCCTTTGTTTTGCTGATAATTATCACTCCAATTTCCATCTTATTGGGTTTCCATATTTTTTTCTTTCTTTGCTAAATAAATTCTTAACACTGCAGAAGTTTTCTAGACTTTAGGATTTTTTTCTTAGCAAAATGCTTTATGATTGAGTATTTATTGATTAACATGATAAGCTAATTAACTGGTGATGTTTATTTTTTTTCAATTTC